ATGGCCCTGAGTGCCAAGCATAGAACAAAACCTGCAGTTCTCCACCGGCAATCGGTAGTGTCTCCATATAAGTGAAAAATTCTTGATTCATGATTATGTCATTCGCTGTTCACTAGCTGGTATAACTGACTTCACACAGAATTTCAAACTATTAAATCTCTGCCAAATAGTTATACAACATCATCGATTATAGCTATATTTAGAGTATTCACTGCCATGACTGTGAAATTTACACAGCCTATGAAAACTATCCATTACCAAACATACAAGTTTTTTGTTGTTTTTTTTTTTTTTTCATTTGGGTCTGCCATGTACTACCCAACATACGGTTGCATTGTGCTCAAAATAAATTTCATAACCACACTCCACAAAGAAAACAAAGTTTGATATACTATTTAACATACACTATTTTATTCTTAATCTTATCGCTGCAGCTGAACTGTACCATCTGCTTTTTACAACTTAAAATGAATTATTTCAAATTCTTTGAGAAATAAAATCTAATAAAGTATTTATAAGCATTACAAACTATTGTAGTAAAAGTTTGATAATGTCATCAAAGTGTTTAATTACAGTTTGAGTCTGTACTATAAAATGGATAACATCAGCTGATCAGTGTATATATCATGTGCGTGCTGGCATTTATCAATCTGTGTAAATTCCAAATAATTTAATTAAGTAAAAAAAATCTTACCTTAATTCTTTTGAATCGTTCATGCTTCACAGGAATGACATAGACACTACCACATCACTGATAACTCTCTTCTTACTCGTTCAAAAATACTCCGCCGTCAGAATTTCCTCGCAATCGCACACAAGATCTTTAGATTAAAACTCAGAATAAATCCTTCTTTACACTAATGCTCCACATACATAATCAGAAATGTTAATATGCACATAAGCCTAGCAGCGGATTGAATAATGCACGTCTACATACGCAATCAATGTCAAACATAGAGTGCGAATATTTGGTTCGTTGACACATACCGCCATGCTGGAGGTAACACGAATCACCGAAATGCCCAGTAATTACCGAAATGCCCCTAAGAAACACCGAAATGCCTATCAAAATCACCGAAATCCCCCTTCATATGTTTTTTCATGTCGTTTTTCATAAAAATAATGCTTACATTTTTCATAAAAGCATAACTGATGGGAAAATTAATTATTTTCATCTCCAAGAGTATAGTAGCTGGTCCCCTACCCATAATGCCGTTGAATGTTTACATCCAGTGAGATCGAACCAAAACATTTTGCGATATTGTAACACTAACATATGAATTAGAATCTAGATAGGTGCTTAAAGTGACAAATATATAGGCTACATATTTCAGTACCAGCATAATAGAAAGCCGTCATATAGTAATAATTGTATACATTTAGGTCTGACAAGGCATGTACGCGTTGATCTATTTTTAGCTTGTAGACAACTTGTTCTTATAATTTATTACATGAAATTCATTTCGAAAAATAGCTTTAAATAAAGCATGATTGTCTTTTCTTTTTATGGCAAATAAAAAGATTTAGTATGCTAGATAGTATAAACTAAAAATTTTGTAGGAAATGTCAACATTTTTAGCTATTTGAAAAAAAGACATTTATGACGTACTGACCCCTAAATATAGGGGCCAGCCCTTTTTTCTTGATCGTATCTGAAAGCTCTTGTAATTACACACAACTTTTGTTCTACATGTCTTACCAAATTATTCTCAGTTTAAAAGTTATTAGACAAAAAGCAGCAAAATTTCATGGAAAAAAAATTCTTAAAATTTGGTGTCACATAGCTTCCGAACCTTAAAAAATTAGCCAATAATTTTAACATTCTGCGCATCTACAATGCATAAACTACAAATTCTCCCACTTTCATGTAAACATTGTATGTCGTTTCTGAGATTTCTGCTGGACACAAGACATCCCAAATATCAATTAAAAGGCAATTACTCATAAACAGAGGCAAATATCAAAAAAATGAAAAAAAAAACATTTTTAGGCTTTAATGCAATGTATCTATCCTGAAAGTTTCATAAGAATCCGACGAAAGGTCTCTGAGAAATCGCCTGTCAAAAATCGGCGGGAAAAAAAATAAAATAATAATAAGAAACAGTAGAATAACAGTAGGGTCTTCCGAAAGGAAGCTTCGGAAGACCCTAATAAAAGTGAAAAAGAAACCTAAGAATAACAAGAAGGTCTTCCGTAGAAGACGGAAGACTTTAATAATAATAAGAAAAGTGAAAAATCAACAATAGAATAATAGAAGGGTCTTCCGCAGAAGACGGAAGACCCTTATAATAATAGGGAAAAAGAAACCGAACGAAAACAATAAGGTCTTCCGTTGGAGACGGAAGACCTTAATAAAGGTAAAAAAGAAACCTAAGAATAATAGAAGGGTCTTCCGCTGAAGACGGAAGAACCTAATAATAAGAAACAGAGTAAAAACAATATGTTCCCAAACTCCATTTGGGGAACATAACCAGGAGCATAGCAAACGCAGACCTTTGAAAAACATCAGAGGTTAGATCAGGTGATGAGGAGTAAGCAGTCCCTGTAGACTTGTCACACCCGCCGTGTGCTCATTGATAAGAACGGGCAGACTCAAATGAAAACTCCTGAATTAAATATGCAAGTTAATTAGATAGCAATCACGTGACCATGTGACGTCAAAGGCAACTTGGGCTAATCAGCTCTTCATGTTAATTTAACTAAAATATACGCGATACACCTGTATTTCTGCGTTATGGACGACCAAATGACTGATTTTGTAGATATGAAATATATTTGAATTATCAGCAAGAAAAAAATCTGGAAAAACATGTGAACATTGTGAGATAGCAGCGACGATAGCGAGGGAGACACTGCGAAGATAAAGATACTCACCATCACAATACAGTTTGATTTATCATTTTATGACCTGTATATACCTATTTAATTCACAAATTTAACATAATATAACTTTATCCTTTTTTAACAAAATATTTTATGCAATTATACCTTCATATGTTTTGTAGAGGATGGCGGTCTTGAAAAATGATCTTCCGATCACGAAACTTTGCCGTAATCAGAGCTACAGATTCTAAATGTGTTATTAAATCGAATGCCGGCTAAAGTTTTTTATACTAATTGTTTGGCAATCATTTAAGCACTGTATTCTGTTTGCCATATCATGACGATAAGCACGCTGCGGGTGACCGGTCTAAATCTTATCTTTAACAGAGTAACCCTTGTCTTAAAATAGATGATTCTCTAGCTCTCTAAAGATGAGAGAGAGAAAATAATCTCTTTTTACGTGACACGGCATTGTTATTCGATTTAAAGATGTCATTAAAAAGATCCGTATTCACACATTTTCCTTTTAGATGTTGTTTAAAAGGAATCTACTAGGGACTCTAAACAAGGTTAAAAGCTTTCGTAAATAATTAAGGTTAAAAGCTTTCGTAAATAATTACTTAATACACAGATGAACACAATATCATTGATTGTCTTCTTGAAATATGGAGAAGAGCAGACCTTTGAAAAAAAATCAGAGGTGGGATCAGGTGCCATGGAGTAAGCATTCTGTCTATCGATCACATCCGCCGCGTCCACATTGACCAGAACAGTCTGACGGAAAAATCCATCGAAAATTCAGAGTTTAAATGACAGTAAAAAAAGTCAGTCAGCTAGAAAATAATCTCTTACAGATTTCAATAAAAGATCTAAAAATAATCCTCGTTAATGTGCCAGACTCTTTTCTGCACAAATAATAAATTCTACCTCTAACCATGGGTATAAATCAGTGTGCATTTCAAATGTACATATTTCGTATGCATTTTGAAAACGCCAAATTTCATTTAAGGATAATTAAGAGACATGTTTTGATATATAAAAATCGGACATTTGAGACTTAAAAAATACAATAAGACATACGAATTTTGCAATAAGGTTCTGACATCTTACATACATTTTGAAATAAGGTATACAATTTATGACACTCTCCCTGTCACAACACCTCAAGTTTGTAGTGCCTCGACGTCATTTTCTATTATGATGTCATACACTGGTAGTTCAGAGAAGTGAAGTCACGGTGTGCACTGTGATATTCTATGGAAAGCCTTAACCTATCTGTGTGGACTTTTGGGCTTGATAATTATTAGTTACATAAATTATTGTTTTTTTAAAGAACAATTCCTTGGTGGATATAATTTATTCAATGAAATTTAAAAAAAAACAGATATATATGCTATATAGATTTGTATTCACAATTTAATTCAATTTTACAACCCTATCAAGACATTGAAATACTCATTGAAAAAATCAACTTTTTACACCCTATTTAATAATGTTCAATGAAGAAAGAATAATATGCATGTATTTTATTTTTACAACAGAGGGAACTTAACAATAGTCAGTATGTCTTTATCAAAGGACTATACATTTACAACAGAAACAACTAACAGTGCTCAACTGGCAAGGCTTATACTTAGTCCATCTACAGATGTTTTGTGTAAAATCTTTAAGAAAAGAAGTATCTCCACCTGATTTGAGAAGTCATAAAAAGCTTTAGATAAATAAAAAAAGAGAAGGATTTTGAGATCCTTTTAATTGAAACATAACTCTATGTTTTGTTCATACAAATATTTAATGAAGTAAACTATATGAACGAAAAGAAAAAAATCCCTCTGGGACAAAGAAAAGAAACAGGACGGGGAATTAGTATGTTAAATTCCTTTGACAGCCTTCAATTTTTAAAGATTTTGTAGCAGTTGTGACATTACTCTCCGATCAACCTTCGTGCACTTATAAAATTACACAGAAACTCAAAGTGTTAAAGTCGAAAACGAAATGGATGAGTAAATGCCAATCTGTTATAAAGTTGAAAATATAGTAAAATATGTGTTTTGGAAAATAAGGATATGGTTTTATTTTTCAAACATTAAAATAATTTTAAGATTATTTTTTGTTATTAAAGGTTGTACGGTAATCCTTTTATGGCGAAGATAGAGCCCTAAAACTTTTACAACGATATGTCTTTATCAAAGTGCTACACCTCTACACCAGAGACAACAAACACTGCTCGACTGGCGAGGCTAATACTGGGTCCATGTACTGATGTGTTACGGGACATTCTAAAGACAGATGTGCAACCATCTGATTTGTCCAGAAAAGTTAAAGAATTTACAGATAATCTTCCACATGGACAAAGAAATCCCCTCAACAAAACACAATCAGAGATTGTTTTCCCGAAATCAACAAAACAATACAGTGGTGATTATTCAGACTTAGACATATCCTTATTGTATTTTCTTCTACGCAATGTAAGTAAAATAGCACCACATTCCAAAGGTTGGGGAGAGATTCCTAATCCCGGAGACAGAAGCGTTACAGCCAACATTGAAAGAATTCGCCTTCTTAGGAACAAATACTACGGACATTCAGCTGATCTCTCTCTATCAGAGTCAGAATTTAGACAGGAATGGCGAAACATCCGGGACATTGTGGTTGAGCTAGAGCGACATCTAGGAACCAAAACGGTTTTCCAGGATGCAGTCAACACGATAAAAACCTGCTCCATGGACCCAGAGCAAGAGAAAAAATACATAGACTTTCTTGGAGATATCCGAGATCTTCATACTACTGTGGATTTTCTATCAAGTAAGTAAGCGGTATTTTCTTGTATAACATAATGAATCCTATTTCATGTTAGATTATGCATATCAAAATATTCATTTGGTAGAGATAAGTAATGTATAATATCTAATGTATCAGATCATCAATCATAAAAAGAGTTAACGATAACGAAGAATAAACAAACTAACCTCATATGTTCTGTTAACAACAATCTTTGTTTATTTTTTGCAGATAATGTGCAGATAACTCAAAGAGAACCAGCGCTCCCTCGTGGTAAATATAACTATGTGTATATTAATTAAAGCCGTTATTGGGCCTTTAAATGAGACAATAAAGACAAAAAATGCAGTATGTAGATCACCGTGTTATTTTTTAATAAATAGTTGTATGTAGTAGAGGATATTGCACATTGTGGCATATTCCGGCAACTTCATTCATCAAGATTTTTCAGGTTTTTGACTTTTCAGTGACAAAATACTAAAGGATTTTATATAATTAGTTGTCTTTGGCTAATTATAACTTCAAGAAACACGACAGGAGATAACCCATTTTGGCGCATAGTTTGGAGTGCATCTCAGAACAACACAGACGTCCAACATTAAACATTTGTTGTCCTTCCTGTTAAAAATTGAGGATTGGTTCTAAGAGAAAGAATACACAGAGGTCACAGGGAGGTCCGAAAATTGGCTAATATCTGAATCTTCTCATTTCTATTCAAATTTTCATCGAATTAACCAATATTTTGTTTCGGAAATCACATAGGACAAGCTTGCCTATCCAACAAATATATATACTTCATGCAAAAGTGTCAGATACATATTACGTAGAAAAAAAATCTTAGGCAAACACAAAATATCTCAAATTGCACAGAATTCCATCAGAATTGAGGAAATTTGATATTTTTTTTTCACTTTGTCACCCTAGCGTGACCTCTGTTAATGATTCGAATCAGAATAAATGCTGGTTTAAAACAAGCCTCATTTAACATGTTTAAGGATCAAATGAGGGACGCAATTCGGTTTTAACTAAGCCTAGTCCTACAAAGGACACATGGTAGCTACAATGACCTTGTCAGCAAATACAATCATCATAAAGTCAAAATTCTGTCGTTTTTCATACAAATTGTTAGGACATTATTTTCACACTGAATTGTCGACAGATTTTTCCGTTTGCTCGATCATGACAATGAACAAACGGCGGGTGTTACCGATCAATAGGGTTTGCTTACTCCTTCATCGCACAAGTATCATGATATTTCATACATCAGAAATGGCAATGTCATTAAACAAAATTTATGCAAACTGAACAGAATGATGCAAATAATGTGAGAAAATGTTAGGTTTGTGCAAAAAATTAAATAAAACCTTTTAAAACTCTTATTAATAAAAGATAAGAACAGTTTTTCTATTCTTAATATGACTTCTTCTGAATTCTGATTAATGACCTCATTGTTTTCTCTTGTAGACCCCAGAGTTGCAAGAATGATCGGTAAGAGAATTTTGAACAATGACAGATATTATATGATTGTTTTGGTATTTAAATTTCAGATATTTCAGGACATTTAACAAAAGAACAAACACATCGATATATTAAACTCTGTGAAATCAATATTCTCCATGGACGTTTTAATTTTAATTTAACTAATTTAAGAAATTCCACTTACATTGTACTTACATTGTACTTGTATTTAGTTGTTAAATGTCTAGGTTTTTTATGATCATTAAACCTTAACTGTTCAAAGAACACATTTAATATTTATCTGCTTTTTCGGTCTATTTACATAATGAAAACTGTCAGGGAATTATTTTTCAAAATCTTTTTATATGATTTTTTCTTCAAATGCTAATTAGTTTGTTTGTTGCTTTGTGGAGAATTTTTCACCACTTGCCGGCTGCAATTTCTAACCTATATTCGGCACTCAAGGCCATTGAGCAGTGAGGGATCTTTTTTCGTGTCAACGCCTGCCGTGACAGGGGACCTGGGTTTATACATAGTCTCATCCGAAGGACCGGTCTCCACGTGCCACTGTGGGATTCAAACCCGCAACGTAAGGATCAACTCCTTACTCCATGACTCTAGAGCAGACTCTCTACAACTGCGCCACGCTGGCGACCAAATAACTAGTAAAAAAAATCATCAGATGGTTATTAACCATTAAGGTTATCTAGTAAAAGGTACATGAAACTATTTATTTAAATTCTGATTAGGAAGTAGTTTTTCGCCAATTATTTTTTATCCACTTGCCACAGTGGGATTCGAACCCGTATTGTAAAAATCAACTCCTTACTCCACGACTCTAGAACAGACGCTCTACCTCTGTGCCACTAAATAATTAGTGAAAAAAAAGTATCACCAGACGGTTATTATCCAATAAAGGGTGCATGAAACTATTTATCAAAATTCTGATTAGGAAGTTGATTTTCACCAATTCTTAATTTTTTCATTACAATATATTTTTCTATTTGTGCATATGTCAGGAGAAAACACAAAGAATTTCTGCAAAAGAATTAATTGTTTAACATATTATTCATAAAACATCCTTTAGGGAAACAAAGAATCTTCCTTCAACCACAAACAAAATAGTAATAAAACGCGCCGGATTTATTTGTTTTAATTCTTAACTCCATATAAGAAATACAATTGTGAAGGCGTACAATAAAACATGAAAAGTAATCAAATCTATATATCATCAACAGCGATTGTGAAGATTTTAGTTTGAATAGAGAATGCTTATAAAAAGATCATTTTTTTACTTACTTTGCAATATAAATTTAGAAATTTGAGAACACAGTGAAAAGTTTAAATACATTTCATAATACTCAGGCATTTGTATAAATTGTTATAATGGAAAATTATATACAAAATATGCATTTTCGTAATCATGGATAAAACGCAACCAAAGTAAGGGAGCAATCAAAAACCCATGGTTCGAGATCTTTCAAACCACTTTTATTAACCTTATATGATAATATAGCAAATTTATAATGAATATTCTTTATACATTTAATTGATCAATTTGTTTGAAACTCTTAAACTGAATGTAAAAATAGCATACTTTGAATTATTAAAACTAGTGTATTGGTTAATCAAGACTATTCTGTTTCACACTCCTTTGTTATATTATATTGTATTTCGTAACAGAATTAATAAATTTGATCAATAAATTCCTTCGTAAACAAATAATTCTTATATAGATAAACAATCAAATCACTAAGTTGCAAAATCAACTTTTAACATGTTGTAAATTATATATAAATTCTACAGGATATTAAATAGATAAATACTTACATACTTTGATAACTTCTGTGACGATCAAATAGAATTTATTTTTAATCTAAAAGACTTCTTCTGAATCTAAACATAGCGTGCTTTGTAATGAATAACCGACAATTCAAACGAAGGAAAAAAATAATATTCTTTAAAAGGAACACCTTTTTTATACTATTCTTATATTGAGATACAGTGTACGTTTATTTTAAATGAAGAACTTTCATCAATCCAAAAATAATTCTACCAATATATAACTTAGATTATATTATATTAATATTACGGCAATTTAAATAATTTTCGATTCAATGATCATATCATAATAAATGAAATATAACTTTTAAATATTAATAAAATCATATTAAATGCATCATGGCTTTTAAATATTAAATGCATTAAAACAATTTCACCATATCAAAGTAACATAACTGATGCAAATTTAATGTCTTTGTAGATCGATAAATAAACGAGTTTTGAAAATTTATATGAACGTAATCACTTCAATGACATTTTTATACCATAAAAGTAGAAAACTCATCTCTTTATTCTTAGAAAGAACAAAAAAAATGATATCAAAGCATACTGAAGCCATGAGCCATCTATTTGTAAAAACTCGTGCGTTTGACAGAGCGAAAAAACTGATGGACAATAATAGGTATGTCGTCATCAAAGGTAACCCTGGAACTGGAAAAACCACAATCGCCAAGATGTTAATTAAAGAATTGATGGATGATGGAAAATTTCCTCTTCAGCTTTACAAGTTGACAGATCTGTATGGAAGCATATCACAGGACAATGGCATTGTGGTATTCATTGACAATTTATTTGGAGAATTTTCATTGTCAAGCCATGATGTTCAAGAATTTAAAGCTATGGCCGAGATGTTAAAAGTGTTGATTGAAAGTGACAATGATAATAAATCAAACAGATTGATATTTGCACTAAGAAATGATGTTTATCAGGAATATCTACAAAACGAGTGCGATGACGATTTTTTCATGTCGTCCCTGGTTGATCTATCAAGCAAGAAAAATGCATTGCTGAAGGAAGAAATCCTACAGCTATCAGAAAAATATGAGCTATCTAAATACATAGAAGACAATGAACTTATCAGTAAGGTGTATGAAATGCCATTAACTATAGGGTTTCCACAATGTTGTAAATTGGCAAGAAGCGATGCAGCTATTAAAGAAAATGTATGTGCCTTTTTACCAAATCCAATGATGTTTTTGAAAAACTACTTCAAAACATTAATGAAAACTCGAACTGGAAAAACCGCTGCTTTAGTGTATCTTCTCCTGAGAGGAGGAACAGTAGACTTCGATTTGATTGATAACCCTCACATGGATTTTCAGATGAAACGCACCTCTTTGGAGTTTGTAGGTCTACAAAACTCATACATGTATATTAACGATTTCCAGGACAATATTAATTGTTTTGAGGGGTTTTTAATTATTCGTGACACAATAGATAACACCTACAAATTTTCTCATAGCTCAGTACAGGAATCTCTTTTCAGTGTCTTGTTTAATTTTGATCCTGAAAAAATGATCCAAATGTGTCATCCGTCGTTACTTCTGACTCTGACTACATTTAAAAAAACCAAACAGCACACAAGTTTTGATAGGACAAAGACTATTTAAAATTGTTGTCCGTCGCATTGCAAATGTCATTACAGAAAGGTCTGTGATTGGGTATTCTTCCATATCAAAACTGGAATTATGGGATGATCCAAACTTCCATGAGCACGTATTACAAACAGAACAATGCACTTCCATATTTCAAACATGTCGTGATATCAAGGGAGATCCAATGATTGTGCATTTTTCAAAGGCGGGGAATAAGCGATGGGTTGAATATTTACTACCAAATTCAGAAAAAAGAGCAAAATACAGATCACTTAACGCCGCTTGCTCAAAAAATCAACCCGATATTGCTTATCTCATTTTGTCATCAAATGTGGAATGTGATCTTCAAACATGTTTTTATGCTGTGCAAAGTGGCAATATAGACTTATTGCTCCGAGTTTGTGAGTTTCTTGATCTTCATCAAATTTCATCTTCCCTACATCCTGTCTGGAGTTGTATAAGACATAGTTTACTCCAGGAAATCTGTTCTATGCAACAAACACAATTAATTGAACAAGTTCTGGCAAAATATCCATTCCTTATAGATATAGAAGACGACCAAGGGGGCAATGCATTACATTCTGCTGCAAGTTCTGGAGACACACATGTATTTAATCTTCTGTTAAAGTTTGGCTTTGATCCATATAAAAAAGATCGAGACAATGGTCACACTGTTCTTACCTGTGCTTGTCAGAATGGAAGGACAGACATGGTGAAATACCTTATTGAGACATACCCTGCATTACTCCAGGAACACACAGATATTCGTGGAAAAAGTCTTTTGTATTGGGCAGCTTTCAGTGGGAAAATAGATATGTTTGAATATATACTAAGCGTCTTTCAGAATGAAAATATATTACATATATCAAGGTACAATAAACCCAAGGTAGATAAAAAAAATAATTCAGGTCAATCTATCTTGCACATTGCATGTAGAAATGGTCATTATGATATGAGTGAATATCTGTTGAGTAGATATCCTCAGTTACTGGATGTTCGTGACAATAATGGGGGAAATGTGCTCCATTATGCAGCTAATGTAGGCAACGTAGATCTTTTCAAGTATCTATCAAGTAAAGGATTAAATGTCAATTATACAACAAATAGTGGACAGACTGTGTTACACCTGTGTTGTGCTATGGGTAGAGAGAAAATGTGTAGGTATCTAGTAAATATGCATCCATGTTTAATATCTGTTAGAGATAATAACGGATTGACAGTGTTACATTCAGCTTGCTCTGGAGGAAATGTAGAAATTGTTTCTTTTCTGATAGAAAAAGGATTTAATTCCAATGCCTTGTCTAATGATGGTAAAAGTATTCTGCATATAGCTTGTCATAGTGGGAAGTATGAAATTTGTGAGTACTTAGTTGATAACTATCCCCAGCTTTTGGATGTCAAGGACAAATCTAGTAACTCAGTGTTGCATGATGCAGCCTGGGGAGGTAATGTTCAAATAGTAAAGCTATTCATTGAGAAAAAGATGGACATCAATACCCTACAGAAAAATGGTGGAACAATTTTACATCAATGTTGTCGTTCTGGTAAAATGGAGATGTGTGAGTATTTGGTCAATCATTTTTCAGATCTACTAGGGATAAGAGACAATGACGGATGGACGGCGTTACATTCAGCTTGCAGTAGAGGAAGTGTAGAAATTGTTTCTTTTTTAATTGGAAATGGATTGGAATTAAATGCCTTGTCAAATGATGGTAAAAGTATTCTGCATATAGCTTGTCATAGTGGGAAGTTTGAAATTTGTGAGTACTTAGTTGAGAATCATCCCCATCTCTTAAATATAAGGGACAAATCTAGTAACTCGGTCTTGCATTATGCAGCCTGGGGAGGTAATGTTCAAATAGTAAAACTATTGATTGAGAAAAAGATGGACATCAAGAACCTACAAGATGAAGGTGAAACAGTTTTACATCAATGCTGTCGTTCTGGTAAAATGGAGATGTGTGAATATTTGGTCAATCATTTTTCAGATTTACTAGAAATAAGAGACAATGACGGATGGACAGCGTTACATTCAGCTTGCAGTGGCGGAAGTGTAGAAATCGTTTCTTTTCTAATAGAAAAAGGATTGGACATTAATGCCTTATCAAATGGTGGTAAAAGTATTCTGCATAGAGCTTGTCTCAATGGGAAGTTTGAAATTTGTGAGTTCTTAGTTGAGAATCACCCCCACCTCCTAGATGTCAAGGACAAATCTAGTAACTCAGTGTTGCATGATGCAGCCTGGGGAGGTAATGTTCAAATAGTAAAGCTATTCATTGAGAAAAAGATGGACATCAATACCTTACAGAAAAATGGTGAAACGGTTTTACATCAATGCTGTCGTTCTGGTAAAATGGAGATGTGTGAGTATTTGGTCAATCATTTTTCAGATCTATTAGGGATAAGAGACAATGACGGATGGACGGCGTTACATTCAGCTTGCAGTAGAGGAAGTGTAGAAATTGTTTCTTTTTTAATTGGAAATGGATTGGAATTAAATGCCTTGTCAAATGATGGTAAAAGTATTCTGCATATAGCTTGTCATAATGGGAAGTTTGAAATTTGTGAGTACTTAGTTGAGAATCATCCCCATCTCTTAAATATAAGGGACAAATCTAGTAACTCGGTCTTGCATTATGCAGCCTGGGGAGGTAATGTTCAAATAGTAAAACTATTGTTTGAGAAAAAGATGGACATCAAGAACCTACAAGATGAAGGTGAAACAGTTTTACATCAATGCTGTCGTTCTGGTAAAATGGAGATGTGTGAGTATTTGGTCAATCATTTTTCAGATTTACTAGAAATAAGAGACAATGACGGATGGACAGTGTTACATTCAGCTTGCAGTGGCGGAAGTGTAGAAATCGTTTCTTTTCTATTAGAAAAAGGATTGGACATCAATACCTTATCAAATGGTGGTAAAAGTATTCTGCATAGAGCTTGTCTCAATGGGAAGTTTGAAATTTGTGAGTTCTTAGTTGAGAATCACCCCCACCTCCTAGAAGTCAAGGACAAATCTAGTAACTCAGTGTTGCATGATGCAGCCTGGGGAGGTAATGTTCAAATAGTAAAGCTATTTATTGAGAAAAAGATGGACATCAAGAACCTACAGGATGTAGGTGAAACGGTTTTACATCAATGCTGTCGTTCTGGTAAAATGGAGATGTGTGAGTATTTGGTCAATCATTTTTCAGATTTATTAGAGATAAGGGACAAAAAGGGATGGACAGTGTTACATTCAGCTTGCAGTGGCGGAAGTGTAGAAATCGTTTCTTTTCTAATAGAAAAAGGATTGGACATTAATGCCTTATCAAATGATGGTGAAAGTATGCTGCATATAGCTTGTTTTAGTGGGAGGTTTAAAATTTGTGAGTACTTAGTTGAGAATCATCCCTATCTATTAAATGTCAGGAACAAAACTCGTGAATCAGTGTTGCATGATGCAGCCTGGGGAGGTAATGTTCAAATAGTAAAACTAATGATTGAGAAGAAAATGGACATACATACACAGCAGGATGAAGGTGAAACAGTTTTACATCGATGCTGTCGCTCGGGTAAAATGGAGATGTGTGAGTATTTGGTCAATCATTTTTCAGATTTATTAGAGATAAGGGACAAAAAGGGATGGACAGTGTTACATTCAGCTTGCAGTGGCGGAAGTGTAGAAATCGTTTCTTTTCTAATAGAAAAAGGATTGGACATTAATGCCTTATCAAATGATGGTAAAAGTATGCTGCATATAGCTTGTTTTAGTGGGAGGTTTAAAATTTGTGAGTACTTAGTTGAGAATCATCCCCATCTATTAAATGTCAGGAACAAAACTCGTGAATCAGTGTTGCATGATGCAGCCTGGGGAGGTAATGTTCAAATAGTAAAACTAATGATTGAGAAAAAAATGGACATACATACACAGCAGGATGAAGGTAAAACAGTTTTACATCGATGCTGTCGCTCGGGTAAAATGGAGATGTGTGAGTATTTGGTCAATCATTTTTCAGATTTACTAGAGATAAGAGACAATGACGGATGGACAGCGTTACATTCAGCTTGCAGTAGAGGAAGTGTAGAAATTGTTTCTTTTCTAATAGAAAATGGATTGGACATAAATGCGTTGTCAAATGTTGGCCAAAGTATTCTGCATATTGCTTGTCTCAATGGGAAGTTTGAAATTTGTGAGTTCTTAGTTGAGAATCACCCCCACCTCCTAGATATCAAGGACAAATCTAGTAACTCAGTGTTGCATGATGCAGCCTGGGGAGGTAATGTTCAATTAGTAAAGCTATTCATTGAGAAAAAGATGGACATCAAGAACCTACAGGATGTAGGTGAAACGGTTTTACATCAATGCTGTCGTTCTGGTAAAATGGAGATGTGTGAGTATTTGGTCAATCATTTTTCAGATTTACTAGAAATAAGAGACAATGACGGATGGACGGCGTTACATTCAGCTTGCAGTGAAGGAAGTGTAGACATTGTTTCTTTTCTAATAGAAAAAGGATTAGACGTCAATGCCCTTTCAAATGATGGTCAGAGTATTTTGCACATAGCTTGTTTGAATGGTAAATATGATGCTTGTAGGTATTTATCAACAAAACACCTACACTTGTTAAATGTCAAAGATAGTCATGGTAAATCAGTTGTAGATATTGCCAATGAACATGGAGACATAGGTATGATTCATTTGTTGAGCGAACGCTTAGGATTATGAACCATCATCAGTTAGTGTTCTTTTTGAAGGAAATACAGAGAGACATTCCTAAAGAACTCATTTCCTTAAAGTTAAATGATAAAAAAAAGTGAACAATGATTACCATTGCATCAGGTGATTCTCTCTATGCATGTATTAGAGAGAAAAAAAAAATCATATTTTGAATGAGATGAAGCTAGCAAACAGTGATAAACCTCATAAATCCAATGTACAAAGCAAATCGAGAATAGGTCAAATACACGGACCCTTGAAATAACCAGATGTCGGATCAGATGTTTAACTAAAGGTTAAGATAAAATAATACAAAGAGTCCTGGCAATTTTTTTATGTAATTTATTTTTAGATCTATCACTATTCATTATCTTCACCTTTTTCATACGACTCCGTTCTACTTATTTCTACATAGAACTTGTACCTTTTTATTGCAAAGATGGAGCTGGAATTTTAAATTGTTTACAGTCTCTTTAAATGATTCATCACCGAGTCTCTCATTACTATTCTGTGGGAAGAAAATACGTTATTTTCAATTAAAAGAGAATTCAAAATCGTAAGACACTTGTAAACTGTTATGAAAATATAGAGCCGTTCTTAAAAAGAAACTAAATGTCCTGTAACCTATGACTGGAATTTAGTTCTATTTCTGAAAATTCAAAATTATGCAACGAGACTTGATCTTATTATGTCGTACAATTTTTGAATGCGTTTAACTAAGATTTTATTTATTTATGTAAACAAGATGTTTAAAATAAACACACTTAAAAGTTATAATTCTGATTAAGCATATATATTGTTGATATCATTTGGAACTACATCATTCGTTATATACTCAAAGATATCCTTCAAAAGATTTAATGTGAAGTGCGTGTATGCCCTTTTATATTTTATCTATTTTATTTCTGTTCTGGTTTGAGATGAAACATGCATGAAAAGGATTTAATTGTTTACTGATGCATTTATTGTATTGTTTTAAGTTTTTATTGATGATTTTGTTTCATATTTTACTTTTTATAGGAATATAGGAAATTTTTATTAGAATAATGGTAATATTATTCTCAATGTAAAAGATTGTCATTTTTGATATAAAAACTGCACTTGTACATATATAATAAATTATTACGGATTGAATTATTTTTATGAAGGAGATATGTTTTATATTTGTTACAAATTAAAACATCTAGCATGATATTTCTTTTCATTCATAGATTTAGATATTATTTTACTGACACGCAAAAGAGACGCAACTTGATATCAAATATTCAAAGTATAAAGTCAGACAGTGGGTTTATTTTGGTAATTTCGCAGCTCAGTTAAGGCTACAATAAGGAGGCGGGGCCTAGTTTATACGTATCAGGGTGATATCCTGAACAAATATTTATCTACAACACCTCCTCACCCTGTGTAAGTTTGGTGATATTCTGCCCAGTGGTTCTTGAAAGGATATGTTTGCATCCACTTTGTTTTTTTTTTCCTAATTATCTCCTTTTGTTATAGGGTTATATCCAAATTTTAGGTACAAAAGAAAGTCCTTTGGCCAAGGATACTCTGTGACAAATTTGACAAATAGGGATTCTACAGATATAGCCACTATTCAAAGAAGTTTAATGTGATGAGCAATTTGGTCCATTTTCAAAGCTTTCTTAAAATAAAATTTCTCTAGGTCCTTCCCTTTATAGTATTCATAAGCATTTTTTTCAAAGAGAGTTATCTAGGAATATAACTTCAAAATAAGATAATTTTTTTCTGAACAATAAGAACTTTATTTTGTATTGTATAATGAGTAATCAAGTCAATATTCACAGCTTTACGAAAAATAACAACATTTTGGTGTCTAGTTCTTCCCCATGCGGTATTTAGAGGCAATTACGGATTGTTTTAGCTTGAACTCCTGATGCTCTTGTCTGTGAATGATCAGCAATGCCGATTGCAAGCAGCATCTTATCCTGGTCGCATGAAATGTCCCCAATTTTTTGTCAGGTTCTTTGGTAAACCCAGCCAAAATCAAACTGCAAAAAATGATTTTAAAAAATTTGAAAAAAGATATATCAAACATTCCGAAAAAATTACTCAATTTAACAACTGTGATTTCCCCCATTAAATGATGTATTAAAATCATATTTCAATGAACATCTTTGATGTATGTACAGTTGATCTGCATGACAAAAACTTATTATCTTGAAAACTGTTGCAGAAGTCATCAAAAAAATGCAATATTTTGCATAAAAATGAGTTCTTAAAAAGTTTACCAACTAAATTTTAAAAACTGCGATTTCTTTTATAAATGATGAAAATCCAAAATCCAAGTTCCATGTTCATCTCCATTGTATAGTGATTTCAATAAAAAAAAAAATAAAAACACATTCCTTTTAATGGAAAACTTTTCGAAGAGAAAAACCGAAGGGGAAATTGCCCTACATGCAATATTACGCATCAAATTGACAACGTTCAACAGCTTGTATTTTTTTAAATGTACAAAACCCCAAATCAAGGTGTAATTGAAATCACCGACGTACACATAATTTTTTGAAAAAAATAAGAAGTTCTCAATTTCATAAAATATGAAAGCTATTTAAACAAATGATGAAACTTACAAGCAATATTTGAATTAGAAATGAATAAGATCAATTGGTACCTTTCAAATAGACAGTCAAAGTCAAACATCATGCTTCTCTCTGATGTATATTTCCTGAATCTGTAATATTAAAAAAAATATCATAAAACTATTGAAGCAGTTATCTAGAACAAGAGGCCCAAGGCCCTTGAAATGCGCTTGTGATAAATTGTACAACCTATCACTTCTATTTGAAGCCTCTAAGTATCCTGTATATTTAGATAAAGCCCTTAAATTCAAAAAGTAGGTCATTTTATATAAAACACTCTGAGAACCCAAGATGATTCTAAGCCAATTAGTACCTGAGATAGGTCGTGGTGACCTATTTATCATTTGTCATTCTCTGAGGACCCAAGATGCAGCAACTATCTAAAATTGATGATTCTAAGCCAAACAGTACCTGAAATATTTATATAAAGCCATAAAATTTCAAAAGTGGGTCAAAATGACCTACTTTTCAGTTGACGTACTCTGAGGACCCAAGATGCAATAACTGACAAAGTTTGATGATTCTAAGCCAATTGATACCTAAAAAATATTTAATTATAACCATAAAATTTCCACAGTACGTAACAGTGACCTACTTTTCAGTTGACATACTTTGAGGACCCAAGATGCATCAACTGACAAAGATTGATGATTCTAAGCCAATTAGTACCTGAAAAAAATATTTAATCAAGTCAAAGTGACCTACTTCTTAGTCGACGTACTCCTAGCATCTAAGATACATTAACCAACAATTTTTGATGACTCTAAGCAAATTAGTACACGAAAATATTCAAATATAGCCTTAAAATTCCAAGAGTAGGCCAGAGTGATCTACATATTCGACATACTCCAAGGACAAAAGATGCACCCACTTACAAAATTTGATGATTCTAAATCAATTAGTACCTGATATATTTAAATAAAGCCATAAAATTTCAAAAATAGGTCACCTTGACCTACTTTTTAGTCGACTAACTCTGTGGACCGATGATGCATCAACTGACAAAGTTTGATGATTCTAAACTAAATAGTACCTGAAATTTAAATAAAGCCATACAATTTCAAAAGTAGATCACGGTGACCTACTTTTCAGTTAACTTACTCCAAAAACCCAAGATCCATCAACTGAAAAAGTTTGATGATTCTAAACCAAATAGTACTCAGAATATTTAAATATAACAAAAAATTTCCAAAGTTGGTCATGGTTACCTACTTTTCAGTTGACGTTTTTCAAGAACCAAAGATGCATCAACTTACAGCTTTATGATCATAGGCCTTGAAAATTTGTCCAAAATATGCCTCTAAAACGCTTTGAAATCGAATGCCTGCAAAGTTCAAAATGTAGGTCACTGTGACCTACTTTTTAATAAATTTGTTTCATGGCGCCAAGGTGCATCTTCTTACAAGATTAAATGATTCTAAAACTCTCAGTATTAGAAGAAATGAAATTCAATGTTTTGAAAAGATTACCCATAAAATTCAAAAAGTAGGTTAAGGTGATCTACTTTTAGTTGACGTACTCCGATGACCCAAGATGCATCAACTGACAAAGTTTAATGATCCTAGACCTTGCAGTAAGCAAAATATTAACATTTTAATAAAATGTAATTTTTGGTCAACTTTGAAGTGACCATGAGACCACGCCTTTGCCCCAGGGTGATTCCCCTTGCAAATTTTAATCTACAGCATATCCTCAACCTAATGTGGAATTTTGGTGATAATCTGCCCAGTGGTTTTTGAGAAGATTTTTGGCAACCAGTACTTTTGGTTTTATTAACTCAATTATCTCTCTTTGTTTAAGGATCACAACCATAGGTTTAATATAAACGGGAGTCCTTGGGTCAAGGATACCCTGTGACAAATTTGACAATAATTGGCAAAGGGGTTCTTGAGTTATGACCCATATTCTAGAAAGTTTACACACACCGCACAAATAGCCATAGCATTAGCTCTTTGAGCCTTTGGCTCAGAAGTACAAATGTAAGCAATATAACACATCAAATGGATATATTTATCAACTGGTATTTTCTTATGAAATCAATGATCAAAAATCAAAATCCAAGTACAATGTTCATATCTAATGTAAGTTCATTTGATTTTAATGTATGTTCATTAGACGTTAACAATAAAAAACATATTATCCCTTTCATAGGATTTTTTTTAGCAGTAAACAGAAGAAGGACAAATCTGCAGAAATGTTGTACCCTAAAAGTAATATTTTGCATCAAATTGACTATGTTCAACAGCTTGTATCTTTTTCACAATGACCAAAAATCAAACCAAGGTGCCATGCACATGTATCATGTAAAAATATTTGGGAAAAAAGTTCTTAGATTAAGAAGTGTAGGGCTGTCAGAACAAAAATATTGAAACCTATATACAAGAGGTGGCATAAAAATCAAGAATACCAACAACTCGTATTTTTGTCATAGAAGATCAAAAACAATATCCAAACACTTCTCTTCCAAATGTACAACTGATTTGCACAATAAAAAATTCCTATTTTCCTCTCCTAAATAATCAAAAATCTAGAATTTAGGTACCATGTTCATTTATGACGGATAGATAATTGATCAACAATTGTAGGAGTACTCTGGAAAATAGAATGTATATGTACAGCAGGATGTACCCAAACAAATGCTGTATTCTCTTTTATTTTGCACAAAAATGACTGAAGTTCAATAACTACTATCTGAACCATAATGATTAGAAGTCTAAATCCAAGTACTAAGCAAATACTAAATGTACGTACAAATTGATCTCCAAACCAAAAACTTCTTATTATGAAAACTATTGGAGAAGTTATCCGAGTAAACAATGAACCCTGTATGCAATATTTTGCATCAAAATAACAGATTTTAAAAACCGGTACCTTTATAGATGATCAAAAATCAAAGTTGAAGCGTCATATTAATATCTGATGTATGTTTTTGTTTTTTGTTTTTTTTTTTTTTTTTTTTTTTTTTTTTTTGATCTGCAAAATTAAAAAAAAATGATATCTTTAAAACTGTTGAAGGAGTTATTTAGAAAAATCATGCACACTTGTATTAAAAAAAAAATTAAATGGCCTAATTTATCAACTGGTAGTTTCTTGTCAATGACCAAAATCAAAATCAAAGTACCATATTTATCTCTATTGTATGTTCATTAGACTTGAACAATTAAAAACCTATATTCCCTTTCATGGGATTTCTTTTAGCAGAAAACTGAAGGAGAAATTATCTGCAGAATTGTTGTACCCTAAAAATAATATTTTGCATCAAATTGACATGTTTGTGTCTTTTACATATGTGACCTAAAACCAAACCAAGGTGCCATGGGGGGATATGCATATCACTGATATAAAAACATTCAGGAAAAATTTCTTAGGTTAAGGTTTAGCTTCTGAAAAAAGGTCTGCATTTTGTAAATTTGAATGTTTGTCACATTTTACCAAAATTGGATGAATTAATTTTATATTTACAAGATCAACAAAATGTTGACATTTTTTCTCTATGTGAAACTTTTCTTAATGAAAATATTAGTGATTGTATTATAAATGTAAATGGATATACTTTTGAAAGAAAAGATAGAAAAGGAAAGGCAGGTGGTGGACTTGTTACATATATTGCAAATGATTTAAAATATAAACGACGAATCGATTTAGAAATTAGTAATATATAAACAATGTGGCTTGAAATTAATCTTAAAAATTCTAAACCTATACTTTATTGTTCAGTCTACCGTCCACCATCTGCCCCCTCCTGCTGGGTGGACGATTTTGTCAGAGAACTGCAGTGTGCTACCTGCTGTGACGACCAGGAAGTGATTATTGCAGGTGATTTCAATATTGATATGTTCAAAGACACCCCCCCCCCCCCCAGAGTTGGTCATCTGCAATTGTAGATTTGGGATTAACACAATTAATTAACACCCCAACAAGAATTACAAATAGCTCTAAAACTCTCATTGACCATTTCTACACTACGCACCCTGCTAACATTTGTGAAATATTAGTACCCCCTGTAGCAATGTCTGATCATTATCCAATATGTGCCACCCGAAGATCTAACAGCATGCAACGCAAAGGCAAACATATTGAAATACAATATCGCGACTTTAAAAACTTTAATGAAACTGATTTTTTGCATGATTTAAAGAATGCAAATTTTGATGAATTAAATCTACTGCATGATCCTAATGACATCTTAAACTGTTTTTATGAAATTTTCAATTCTAAACTTAATAAGCATGCAAAAGTTAAAACAAAGCGTGTGAAAACAGAATTTCGCACTAAATGGTTGACTTCAGAAATAAATGATGCTAGGAATTTACGAGATCAATTCCATAAGCAGGGTGACATGGACAATTTTAGATTATGGAGGAACAAAGTCACCTCTTTAATTAATGATGCAAAATGTACATATTATAAAACAGTAATTGAAAAAAGTTCTACATCAAAGGAAATGTGGGGTCACTTAAATCAGCTGGCCTCAAAATCAGATAAAAATTCATCTCCTCCCAATATAACATATAATGGGCTAGATCTTGATAATTTACAGGATATTGCAAATGCTTTTAATGAACATTTTGCACAAATTCCCAAAAAATTATTAAATAATCTTTCGTTAAATAGTTTTGAATCAGAAAAATTGAAAAGATACACTGAGACAAAACTTGGAGATCATGATTTTTTTGAAATTCCTTTGATTAATGAAGCAAAAGTACATGATATGTTGAAGAGGCTTGATGTAAACAAATCTGCCGGCATAGACTTTCTTGGACCTAGATTGCTTAAACTTTCAGCTAGTATAATATCCAAACCTCTAACACATCTAATAAATTCTAGCATAATCAAGGGATCCTTTCCTTCACAGTTAAAAGTCGCAAAAGTAACTCCTCTATTTAAAAAAGGTGATAAATCTGACCCAGGAAATTATCGCCCAATCTCAATTTTACCTACTATATCGAAAATTATAGAGAAGCATGTAGCAGAAAATATACGCATCTTTACTTCTCATTTTGACTTATTAATGAAAGCACAATCTGGATTTAGAGAATTTCACTCGTGCAAGACAGCTCTCACAAAACTAACTGAGAATTGGCTGCATGCAATAGA